TCTAAAATGTCCTACTTTGCTGATTGTTTTACCCTAAACAAAGGGTTTCAAGAGAACTTCTAAAAAAAAAAATAAAAAAAAAGCCTACATGACCTTTGAAACATCCCATATGAAATCTTAAATGTCCTACATGAACTTTAAACTGTCTTACCTGACTTGTCCTTATGACATCTGAAACGTCCTATGTGACCTTCAAAGCATCTTTCATGACCTCTGAAATGTCCTACAGGAGCTTTAAAACATGTAACATGAAGTGTCCTTCATGACCTGAAACATCCTACATCTTAAAAAAATGTCTTACGTGACCCCAAACTGTCCTCACCATCTCTAAAATGTCCTATATGACCTTTAAAGGCGTCCTACACAACCTCTTTTAAAATGTCTTCGACCACAACAAAAGGAACAACTCCTGAAATACTCCGACAGCTTTAGTTCGTAGAACTAAACCAAAGATTTTAAGGCTTTAACAATCTCGTAACGCATTTGGAATAACTGCTGAAAAAAATACCTCCAGACATCGTCACCTGGTACATCGTCCACCTCCATAAAAACCGTGGAACCTTTCACATGGTCTACAACTTCTTATACGACAGTACATCTGGAAGTACATTATGATTGACACCTGGACAACTTCTACACATCTCGTCACATTTGGAACGTTGTCATGTTCAGCAACAACCTCTAGACCTCAAATCGTCTGGAACATGTCTGGAACTTGTGTACCACAAGGCTCAGTCTTAGGACCCACCCTCTTTACAATCTACATACATAATGTAGGTAAAAACATCCCTAATGCATCCATACATTTCTATGCTGATGACACAGTTGTTTATTGTCAAGCTAAAACTGTTGCTAAGGCTTTCCAGCTTTTGAAATCTGCATTCAACTACATCCAGACAGATTTGTTCCGCCTCAAACTTGTCCTAAATGCCGACAAAACCAAAGGGATGCTTTTTTCAAATAGGAAGTTGGTCCCAGCAGTTCTTCCTCTGATCTCATCCTCAAATGGTGTCCCCATTGAGTTTGTTGATTCCTATAAATATGTGGGTATCTTGGTCGACTCGCATCTCTCTTTTAAGCTCCATGTGGAAAACTTGGTAAAGAAACTGAAAGTTAAACTGGGTTTCTTTTTCAGAAACAGATCCTGTCTAACTCTGAATGCTAGAAAACGCCTTGTATCTGTGACTTTCCTTCCCTCCATTGATTACGGTGACTTTACATGAACGCTCCTACAAGAACCCTGCAGATGTTGGATGCTGTCTATCACGGTGCACTAAGATTCATAACTGGCTGTGATTATCGTACCCACCACTGCACCCAGTATTCACTGGTTAACTGGTCATCATCAACTTCACGAAGACTCTCTCACTGGTACATTTTCATCTTTAAATCACTTCTTGGTCTGTTGCCTTCATACATCTCCTCCTACATGTCTCTGCGTGAGTGCAGCTACAGCGTGCGCTCTCAGGACATTATTACCTGCAGTGTTCCCTCAGTGAGGACTGAACTAGACAAAAGGGCCTTCTCCTACTCCGCTCCTGTTTCCTGGAATATCCTACAAAAACATTTGAAGCTCTCGACCTTGACCTCTTAAGTGGCTTTAAGAATCTGTTGGACTCCTGGCAGGGACCAATGCAGTTTTAGTTTTCTACATTCGCCTTAGAATCTAGCTGTTTTTTGTTACTTTTCTTTTTACTTTTCTTTTTTTTGCCATCCTATTTGTTAAAAAAAATAGACTTTTTATAACTTTTTATTGTTGTCCATTGTTGTCATCATTCTTTGTTGAAATCAGGTCTCTCTTGTAAATGAGTCCTAGAGGCTCAATGGGATTTACCCGTCTAAATAAAGGTTGAATGAAAAAAAAAACATCTTCCACCTTCATAAACTCCTTTACAACTTCCTGAAGAACCTTTAAATAACTAAACAGTTCATCTGGACGGTTTCTTTCTTTATTGAGATGTTTCATCCTTCATCCAAAGGACTTCATCAGTCTGAGGAGTCACAACAAACTCGGCCCCACAAGCAGCACACTCACATAGTGGGTCAACCAGTTTGCTGGTGATAAGATGGTTTCTGGGTCCCGCCCTCTCCCCCGTTGACTCCTCTGAGGCAGCCATAGTCAAAGTGATTCAAAACAACAAAGTTCATGCTCAATAATCCAGGTAAAAAAAATCCAACAAAGTTAAGTCAGGTCATCTGGATGCTTTATTTTTTTGTTGATGTTTCGTCCATCATTCAAAGGACTTCATCAGTACGTTTAAATAACTTCTCCTAACCTCCGTGTTTTTTCCTAATCTACCTCTTGAAGATCTTGACAAGATTAGAGCGCTTTAAAAAGTTATTTTGAAAATCTCAACCATTGGGGAAAATATCCAGCAAAATTAAGTCGGGTCCACTGGACGGTTTCTTTTTGTTGAAACGTCTCGTCTTTCATCCAAAGGACTTCATCAGTCAGAGGAGCCGCAACAAACTTAAGTCTTATAAATGGCACCTTCACATAGTGAGTCAACCAGTTTGATGGTGCCAAGATTGTTTCTGGAGTTGACTCCTCTGAGGCGGCCATAGCCACCAAAGTGGTTCAAAACATCAAAGTTCATGCTCAATAATCCAGGTAAAACAAAAATAAAATCCAACAAAGTAATTTTTTTTTTTACCTGGATTATTGAGCATGAACTTTGATATTGGGAAAATACATTTGACTCAACAGATAATCCCAGTCCGAATGAATTAAAAACACTGAAATCCTCGTTACAACTTTATTTACGAAGCTCAACATGAAATAAAATAAAAAAATGCATAGCACTGAGAAATAAAGAAGACTTTACATAAATTAAGAGTTCAGAAATGTTTCAGTTTAAAACGGTGTAAAATCTTTTGCTGGGTATTTTATTGTTTGCGACTCTGCGGCGTTTTATACGAACCTCCTTTTATCAATTAGAAGACAAAGCTTTAACATGCAGCCGAAACGAGCTTCGGGTAAACATCGACCAATCAAATCACTGTACAGCTTTGGAAGGTTAAAGTCTCACAAACGTTTAGCTTCTTTAGTTTTTAAAGCAGAAATGAAATAAATAAAACCTCTAATAAAAGTTTTTTTTTTTTTTCTCCTTTGGCTGATTGAAGAGTTTTGTTTATTTTCCTGGTATTAGAATAAAACACTGAGTCTGTTCAGTCATTTCGGGGATTTGTGCGTGAGGAAAGCAGCAGCTTCCACTTCGGTCACGTTGAGTTGTTTTGTTGCATAGTTTGGAATTTACAGCATGAAATGAAGGACGTCAAGACGACAAACTTGATAAAAAAAATGTAAAAAAAAAACCACAGCAAAACCCTGAAAACTTTGTGCAAACATCTCCCCACCGCCACGATTTTTGGAACCGAAAAACTAGGGGTGCACCGGTAAATCGGCCCCGATTTCCTTAATTTTGGGAAATCGGAAAATGGCCGATGCTTGCATGAGAAACCGATTTTACCGATTTCTTTTTTTATTATTATTATTATTATTATTATTGTTCGTTTTAACAATAGTCTGAACTTCCTTTATATTTCAGAGCGGTACCTCATGGCCAGTTAAAACCAGTTTTTATTGTTTCTAGGATATTGTTCAAGGGTATGTTTTTCAATAAAATAATATTGGAAAATTGAAGGTACATTGTGAATCGACAGCGTCGCTTATAAAACAAAATCGGAATCGGCAGCTCAGACTTTTTAGAAATCGGTGCTCGGCCAGAAAACCGTAATCGGCGCACCCCTAAGAAAAACTTTTCTTTTGCGTGAAACAGAAACTCAACCAACCACTCGGGTTTTAGCTCGTTAGCTACAAACCTCGTGTCTTTAAGGTTATAAGTGAAGGCTGACGGGGAAAAAAAGGACACTTCCGTCATTTTTCAACCCTAATAATTGTTAAATTCATCTAAAATGTGTATAAACGCAAGCAGCAGACGTGAAAGGATCCTGACTCCGGAGTTTCTAGCTTTCATTTTCTACGCTCAAATTTTTGTCGGAAGATTTTAAGAGTCATGTGATGCCTTACTTCCGGTAAGATGGCGCCCGTGTACATGGCTTGCAATCCACCTCTGCTGATGGTGTTCGGATTATTTATGTTTTGTTCGTTTTTTATCTGGGACATAAACTCGCTGCTGGTGTATGACCGACAACAGCTTCTGGATCTTCGTTTTAATCATCTGTTGAACGTAGAAGGGTTTCTATGTTCAACAGATGATTAAAACGAAGATAAAGTCTGCAAACATTGATATGTTCCATGTCATTTTTTTTCTTTCTTCCATATTTATCCATGCCTGGAAAATACAAAAATAAACTGCAGACATTTTAAGACTACAGAAGGACTCTCGATATCTTCCCGTGGAGTCCCTCAGGGGTCACATCTGGATCCTCTGAAGTTTTAGTTTTGAGAAAAGTCACTGCTGGGTTAAAATAACGGTTTTGGACTCCCTAAAGGTGCTTGGATATATATTCTATCAGCTTTAGTCAAAACTTGGCATCAAATTATAAATAATACACTCTTCAAATTCAACCAATAACTGTGATTCTCTTCATTATAATGCCATGTTTTATGTCCGAAAAGCTGCGCTCACCCGCGACCATAGTTTCCACTTTAAAATAAACTATTATGAGGGAAAGATGGTGCTGACACACTGTTGTTGTTGTTTTTTTCAGATGGGATAGGCGGCAGGTGTTCTGTTGAAAAAAGCACCCCGACTGGAAAAGCACCATTAGTAAAACAACTCGGCGTGCTGCTGCCAGGTATGGTTGCATTATTTCTTCAAATTCTTCTTTCATTTTTCTCAAACAGGAGAAAAGATAAACCAGTTTGAGCGCACCAGCCTCTTTCTGCCTAAGTGATTTATTTTGTAAAGTGTAAAGTTAGTGTTACAGACTATTATGAATATTTTTTTCTGAAAAGTCCACCGGTAATAATAATAATAAAGTCTAATAATTACCAAACAAATTTGATGAATGTTGTAGCTCAGAATGCAACCCTTTACTAAAAAAAAAAAACAGATTTAAAGCTGTTTATGTCTACATTTAAACCTCTTCATAAAGAATAATGTATAAATAATTTATGTTTTGTTTTTAAATGAACCAAACACCAAGGAAAGCTGCGGCTAAGTTGGTCTGTAAAATGCCACGAACTTTAAAAATGCCCCGAAAAGTCTGTTTATAAATAAACATTTATTCTGCTGTTGTCTTAACAGATTATTAAATCCAATGTGTGTCTGAGATGTTCTGCTTTTTAAAAAATTTATATTGTTTTAGTACCCGGATCAGAACTTCTGGGATGATACCAAGCCTTAAAGAGTTTCACAACTTGAAGAAGTTTTTAGGAATTAAATATTGAAAATTATCTGTGGTTCGTCGTTAAAGAGCTAAAAGTGCTGCCGCGTTTCTGTAAACGGAACGGAGCCGGGTCAGTTCCTGCAGCCGATCTCCTCCTTGTAGCGGTTCGTGAGCGTGTTGGCTTTGTGTGTCAGTTTGGACAGGACCGTGTGAAGTCCGCTCAGGTGGAAGTGGAACTGCTTCTCCAGGTCGTCCTCCTCCAGCTCCGCTTGTGGCGCCTCCTTCAGGTCCACCTTCTCTCTGGGCAGCTCGTCTCCCCGCTCGGTGCCGCCATCTTTGGGCCGCTCATCGCTTTCCTCGGCGCCGATATCTTTAGGCTGCTCGTCCCCCTGCAGGACGCCCCACTCTATGTCGTTACGGATGGACTTGAGCAGAACATACGAGCTGTACATGTCTCCGTCCTCCTGGTGGAAGTAGGCTCTGCCGTTGCAGGTGGGTCTGGTGCCGGTTCCTGGGAGCTTCGGGTCCTGGCTGTGGTCCAGTGGGACATCCCGCAGCAGATTGGGCACCATCACCGTCTGGTCCATGTTGTTGACGGCGCCGATGAAGCGGTTCATGGTGTTGAAGAGCGAGTTCTTCTGGTTGTAGGAGTCGGATATCTGCATCATGGCGGACAGGGGGGGATCTCCTGTCCCGTCCAGAACCAAACTTAGTCCGTTAATGCTCTTTGGAGGATTATATGGAGGCTGCAGCCTGATCCTGGGTCAGCTCTGAAGCTGCTCCTGATCCCAGAGAGGAACTCACCACTCCCACATCAACCGCCGGATCAGCTTCCTGGTTCCAGACCCCCGGTCCTGGCTCCTGATGAGGAGTGTCTCTGGCTCCAGACCTCCGTCCTAGAAAACAAGCAGGAAGAGGAACGGATGGAGGAATGAATCGGTGTCTTCTTGGACTCTAAAAGTCTCATTTTTTAATTTAAAGTCTCATGCAGGACTATAAATGAAGAACCAGGAAGTGTTCAGCAGGCTAACTCTGTTAGCACAGGAGCTAACTGCATCCTGGGAGTTCAGAATCGACATCAACCCAGATTCTAAATATTTATCTCCAACATTAAGAGCCTAAATAATCATGTAAGACACAGAACCTGGCTGCAGCTGCTAACAGTTAGCACTATGAAAAAGCGTCACATAATTAGTTGTGATGCTACGTCCATTATCGGACAGCCGCATCCGGCGTCCGTTTCATCATTTTCTTACATGATCGCCCTGATTATCCTGGTGCTAATGACACGACCATGTTCTCTTGTGAACAATCGTTAAAGGATCGGTTCCGTTTTGGTTTTTAAAAGGGTCGGTTCCGTTTTTGATTTGTAGTCATTTTTCTGTAAAGATGCTGCGTCCACGCATACAAAAGCCCAAACCGGTACTTTGCAGGTTTACAACCGTCTTTTTAAACACATGTTAAAACCTGACATCTGATTTTAATCGCACATTAAAAGCTCCCGGTCTCTGCAAAAGATGAGCCTCCATAGAAGCTCGTGCGTTCCTACGATTGAAACAAAAATAAAGGACTCGTCCGATAATGGAACCATAACATCTTTAGCACGTCCGATAATGGAACCATAACATCTTTAGCACGTCCGATAATGGAACTAGCATTAGCCTGAAGGTTTACAAGCGGTTTTTTTTTTTTTTTAAACTAACTTCAGCTCAGTTACTCTCAGTTAATTATCTTCACACCATTATTAGTTAACGTTAGTGCCGCTGGTTAACGGTTAATTTCCGCAATTACCGGATCAACCGGTCTGTTCACCCGCCCAATCCGTAATTCCGGGTCCCGCTGAGTCGGCGGGCACCGGGCCGTGGAGCTTACCGTGACTCACTCGTTGTCCCTGGATGCTCTCGGTCTAAGAACCACCGGGTTCGGGTCGTGTTCCGGGCCAGGAAGAGATGAGCACCGACGGGTCAGACCAGGTCCACGAACCGAGCGAAGAACGAGACGGAGCAACGGGGCGGGGCTTACATCGGCAGGAAAAGAATTAGCCAATCACAGAAAGGCCCTCCAGAGTCAGCCAATCAGACGGGTCATGACGTCACGCAGAGTTGGAAATTGTTACAACAGCTTAATTACCTTGTTGATTATTTCATAAAATATGTGGCAGATTTTTATTTTATATATTTTTTGTTTAATTTTGTTCATGGAACAAGTCATTTTTGTAACTTTAATGCATCACATTTGTTTATGCACGAGTATTTGAAAAAATATCACTTTTAGTTTAACTTTTACTTCTGATGAACTGATAAATTTATCTAACTGATTAAGAGTCAGAGAGGTTAAAAAAAAAACTTAAATAAAAATAATTGATTTTTTTTATCTCAATTTTGTGAATGTCAATTTTTTCAAATCAATTTATTTAAAATGAACTTTCCTTTAACACTTTATGTTTGCGATCGATATCTGTACATGTTAAAGGATGAGTAAAAAATAAATGATAAACATATCAGTATTATAAAGTAATATAAAGTGGCGAGTTGTTGTTGTTGAAGTGTCGCCCTCTTCTGGCTGTTCTTTAAAACTGCACCTCATTTATGTCATTGAAATTATTTTTTTGCCTTTTAATTTGCAGAATCATGTTCGTTACATTTTTTACATTTGATGCTTTTTAATAAAAAATACAAAACCTTCATTTTTTTTAATTCAGCCAGTAAAACATGCTTTATTCCACAATAAAATACAGATCACAGTTTTCTTCTTTACATAAAATTTAACTGTAAAATGTAACAAGAGTTAGCGCCCCCTGCTGGATTTACAAATACACTACACGCTGGTGAAGATTCGCAATCATCCAGGACATGGTAAATCCAAAAAGAAGTTAAAAACAAAACAAGTGGACTTTATTTGTAACTGAAGACATTTCGCTTCTCGTCTGAGGAGCTTTCTCAATTCAATGAAACAAGGAGTGTGGGATTCAAGTTATAAAGCTGTGGTGTTCTGTAAACTTGCATAATGGAGATTGACACATGCAGATTGACCTCTCGCTCTACACAAATACACTACACACGGAAACCATCAACTTCAGGGGAAAAAAAAGTAAAAACAAAAACAAATTTAATACAAAAAAAAACTAATAAGCTGTGTGTTTTGCAGGTTTCCATAGTGCTGTACATCATGTAGTTTTCTGAAAGAGACAGAAAACAGCAGACGAACGTCAAACAGGAGTCCTCTGAAGGCAGACCTGTTTCATGAAGGGGTTAAAGGTAAAGGTTTTTTTTGTGACAGTTAAGTTTGTAGAAATTAATCGGAGTGATTGATCTTTACATAAATAAAACATCTGTGTGTGACTTACCTGTCAGACCATCTCGTACTGATTGGTGCTGATGAAGTAAGACAAACAGCAAGCCAGACACATCCCAATTACCTGAGACACAACAAGTTTGTTAGGCTTTAGTCTACAGCTGAAACTGTTTAAGATAAAAATAAAAAAAACTATTACAAATACACAAAATATAGTGTTTTAGTAGATAAAGGCTGGTGCCTGAGAGAAGGCAACGCCAAAGGTCACTCCAGCAATGATCCCCATGTTGCTGTCGATGAAGGACACCACCAACTCATAACAGCCCTGCAGACACAAAGAGAAAGTTTAATCATCCATCCATCCATCCATCCATCCATCCATCCATCCATCCATCCATCCATCCATCCATCCATCCATCCATCACTGCTGTAATTTTTCGCTCCAGCAACCATACACTTGGTTTGATTTCAAGCTTAATGACTTCCCTTGCCAAAATCCTTGATTGTGTTTGTTACTTTCAAAGGGTTTTCCTGTAACAAAATTTCATGAAACAGATTTGTTTTTGAGCAGTTTGAGCCTTCAGAATCAGAATAAACTTTATTATCATTGCACCGAGATACAATGAGAACATGTACGTACTGTCGTCCAAAAGATGAGTGGCGTGCACAAAGCTGCTACTATGAAAGTGCGGCCTTCATTATTCTTATTCAGAATAATATTTTGCTTAGATGAGAAAAGGGAAGAAAACATGAGGAGAGGTGGTATATATATAAAATAAAAAAAAGATCTCTCACGCCGTATCCCAGACAGGGCACGGTTTGAGGCATCAAAAAAAACTTCAGATGCTTTTAAACTGATCAAGATGTAAAACTATTTACACCCTTGCATGCGTTTACTCTACATGGTTTGATTTGATTTCTTTTTTTAATTATTATTCCAAAGTATGCTCTTATTTAAGATCAGTATGTTGTAGTGTGGGCAGCACGGTGGCTCAGTTGGTAGAGCTGTTGCCTCTCGGTGAGAAAGTCGCCAGCTCAAATCCTAGCTCAGGACCCCCATGGGAGTAGACCCCCATACACCCTCAGTGCACTCATGGGTCCCCACTGGGTACTCCGATTTCCTCCCAAAGACACAAATCATGCATGTTAGGCTGATTGGTAACTCTAAATTGTCCCTAGGTGTGTGTAAGTGAGAGAGTGAATGGTTGTTTGTCTCTACGTGGCCCTACGATGGACATGAAACCTGCCCCGCCTCCCCACACAGTGAACGCCGGATATGGGTGCCATCGACCACCATGACCCAAAAAGAAAGAAGCGGGTAAAGATAATGGATGGATGGCTGGATGGATGTTGTAGTGTATTTAACCATTTCTACTACATAGACTTCCTGACCTGTCTGTAGACTTTGCGAACAGCCAGCGTTGCATTCTTCATGTCGGCTCCACTGCAGTCAGCAAAACTAAAGCAACAGCTGGCAGGAATCCCACCAATGGGAAAATACACGCTGCTGAACCAGCTGGTGTAGTTGTAAACTCCACAGCAGTGCAGCTACAGAGAACCACACAAAAACACACCGGCAGATCATTTAAAGACTGGTTCCAATTAAAAGAATCATTCACATAAACCAGTGCATCATCTTCATATCATCGAACCTCGTAATAAAACTGATGCAAACACAGAGCCCTGTGGGACACCTGTCAGCAAGACATATTACATTTTCACAGTAAACACTGAAAACGCTGAATGACTTTGCTTAAATCATCTGAAAATTGCTGAAACTGGATTATTAAACTTAAAAAGTCAAAGGCAAGCTAGGAGCTAAATGTCGTAAAACACTTGTCAATAGCATATGCAATGTAGCTAAAAGCTAAAATTAGCATAAGCAGACAAAAATAGAGCCTGTACGCTGAAGTGTCAAAATGCTAGCTAAAGTATAAAAAGGCTAGCTAAAAGTACCATATGGTGACAAAAACAGAGTTAGCAGTGGACACCAATCTCAACGAGAATAACGTTTTGAAAGGAGCTAAAGAAATTTAATGTTTTTCTACAAGAAAATATTTGTAAATATAGTAAAATACTATGAAAATTGTAATAACTACAAAATAAATAAACAAAGCGTCAATCTCCTGAGTGAGACAAAAGTTTATTACATATGAACTAAAATAGAACAAAGCAGTTAGATTGTAAAAAGGTGCTTTTATCATTTAGGAATGAAAAGCTAAAGATGAGATCATTTCAAATATGTGAAACTCAAAGAGCCCGAGAACAGAAACCAGAAGTGGAAAATATTTGGTTCAAATAAAGAGTGAAATTCTGGATCACTTACCATTTTAAGCATAAAACATGTAACAAAACAAGTTGATAAGGAGGGAGTTTAAGTCTGTTACTCACTCTGCGCTGGACGCTGTCCACGGCCAGACTCCTGTCATCTAGTCCATCATATCGCATCACAGCCTCACTGTACGAAGTCAAAAATGTCTCTTTAATCTGAAAACACACAGAAGCTTCTTACTTCATCAAACAAACTGTTTTTCTGCTGAAATAATAATAAAAAAAAATCAAGAATAATTCTAATACAATACAACTTTATTTATAAAGCACTTTTAAAACAACATCGTTGGCCAAAGTTCTGACCTCATGACGAAAGATGAACCCAGAGATCCCAGCGATGACTTCAGTTATGAAGACCAGAGAGAGAAAAATGGTGTACTGAGGAGAGGTCAGAGGTCAGGATGACGGTGTATTGAGACATTAATAATATTTCTGTTTTTCCCATGACTCAGAGGTCAAAGGTCACCAATCAGTTTAAAGCTCTCACCAGTTTGAGCATCCAGGGACGCCCCTTGCATGTGGCAAAGCAGCCGTAGAGTCCAAATAGCACAATGGCGGCTCCGGTGCCAGCGAGCACATACGGCGCATTGGAGGGGACACTAGAGATCAGTAGCATGTAGGGACCCAACATGAACTTCCACCATAACCCCACTGACAGCAGGACCACACCTGTCACCTGAAGGGTAGGAGCCAAAGGTCAAAATGTCAGCCAATCAGGGGCTTTCTTTTAATATTTTTAAGTGTTAACAATGTAGTAGGAAATTTTCGGGACATAATCATTAGATGTACATCTACAGCTGGTTGGTAATGACTAGCTGAGCATTTAGTCAGCCCAATTCAAGATGGCCACCACAGTTGATCAACCTTAGGAAACACAAACACGGGGGTTACGTTCCAGACACCCCAGCAATAGGTGAAAATCTGTGAAGTAGGGACGTTATATATTTATTTTAGTATTCATATATATATATATATATATATATATATATATATATATATATATAAAAGACTTTATAAACCCTTCCCACACTCTTGCAATGTTCATAACAATGTTCTAAATGATCTAAAAAAGCACAGCGATAGACAGCAGACAAACGTGGTTACCGATCAAATCAGCGTGCGGGGGTGGACTGGCCATTGAGAGCACCAGAAAAATTCTCGGTGGCCTGGCCCGCTCAGTCATCGCTGAGGGGGACTACAGGCTCGGTTTGGGTGGCACTTGATTATTTTAGATAAACAATCCATGCCGCTCTGATGCTCACTCAGGTATAAGACAGACCCCTCCGCCACCTCCTTTCTTTTTTCGAGGCTGTCTGCCACAGAGCAGAAACGCCCCGCCCCCTCCTTTCTCTTTCTGAGGCTGTCTGTCAGCTTCAGAAAAAGAAATAAGGGGGCAGGTGGGGTCTGTTTTATACCTGAGTGAGTGGCACGAGCGGCATGCACTGTTTATTTAAAATAATCAAGCGTGACCCAAATCAAGCCTTTAGTCTCACTCAGGGATCACTGAGTGAGCCAGATCACTGGGAAATGTCCTGGTGCTCCTGATGGCCAGTCCGCCCCTCAGCACAATGCTCTGGTTGGTCGCCTTCCATCAATCAGCCAATTGTGTGTCATGTACAATCTTATGTTGAAAACCCACGAAAGAGTGAGTCAGCAAAAGTCGAACCGCAATGTATCGAGGGACTACTGTATTGAGCAAAAATCTGGTGCGGTAGTAGCTGAGATCATCCTGAACCAGTGGTGGACACTGTTCTACTAATCTAACAGCTAATGGCGGAAAAAGTTTTTTTCTTTAGAGGATTAGCATTTTCGCTAACATTAGAAGTCGTTAGTGGAATTAGCTTCTGTTAAATTATGTTTCGGCAACTTTAAGTCTGCTGACAAAGTTCACAAGCTTGTTCCTGTCAGTTGTAGGTGTGTCTCAAAGAGTCTGTTAGGCTCGCTATTGGTTTACTACTTGTACACGTGACGAGATGTGATTGGTCGATGCAGTTTCAACTGGAAGGAGACGAAAACGTGCGACGCAAACGGATTGACAGCTATCTTATTAGCTTAGCATTAGCTTTGCTATTTCTTTTGAACTGTTTAGCGGTTTAACGTTAGTGAAGCTAATTTTTTTAGTTAGCGGAATACGGGTTATCAAAGCTAACTGGATCGCTGTGCCCACCATTGCCCTGAACACCTACTGTAAGCACCGACGGTGCAAGATCTCTTTAACATTGCCTGCAGCCGTGCATAAGATCTGACCACAAAAACTCTGTAATTTTTCTAAATAAGTTGATTTTTAGTTAAATAGTGAGGACTGAACTAGGCAAAAGGGACTTCTCCTACTCCGCTCCTGTTTCCTGGAATATCTTACAAAAAGATCTGAAGCTCTCGACCTTGACCTCTCTAAGTGGCTTCAAACATCTGTTAACTTCCTGGGAAAAACCAATTGCAGACATGTTCCTGTTTCTAGTTTTCTACACCGCCTTACAACCTAGCTATTTTTTTTTTTGGTTTCGTTTTTTGAAAACACCATTTTATATGCATCCTTTTATGATTGTCTATTGTTACCCACTGTTGTCATCACTCTTTGTTAAAACCAGGTCTCTTGTAAATGAGTCCCCGAGGCTCAATGGGATTAACTTGTATAAATAAGGGTTGAATGAAAAATAATGGTTAAATGTGAAGGTATTTTAACTCCTGCACCAGACTTTTTGTTTTCTTTGCAATGTCAGTCCGTAAATCTGGTCTAAGCGATTCTTCTTGTTTGTCTGTTTGATGCGACTGGCAGCAGATGGACCGAGTCCCAGAAATGGGTCGTGACTAAGCAGCACATTACTGTAACACGGCAAACAGACGGGAACAGACGTTCAGGTCAGCGTTGTCAGCAGGTTGAGATGAGGGGGGAAAAAAACACCACAAGTCACTGTCATTGCATCGCTGTCATCTTACACAGAATTTACTGATCAATAATCTGGGTCTAAAGGTTTAAAATCACTCAAAATCACCAGTTGATATGCCCACTTACAAGTTTAATACTGATCAAATCAGTTTTGACTAAAACCCAACAGATGCTCATAAAGATCTTTATCAAAACAGTTTGTTTGGTTCAGATGTTTAGGGTTTGGATCAGAGCTGCCACAGAATAAAAGACAAGATAAATGACTCGTGTTGTGTGGAGGAATTTTAGTGCCATCAAGTTCACTCACTTGAGTTGGATCATTGTACGGCAGGTTGTTTTACCATATAATCAAATCACACTCCTCTCTTTATTTGCCATTTCAGATTTCAATAAAAACATTTCTCCTGAAAATAATTATATTCTTACTAGTCAGAATTGCAATGAAAGATATTTACAGTCATTTTAACATGAGGAGAAATTAATAGTAGAAATTCTGGAGGTTCTTTGGGTGTGTTGCTACTTTTCCTTGTGTCAAAATCAAAGATAACGAAACAGCCTGCCATACTTAGTTCCAACTCCAGAATGCAAACAGGCAGAGTTAAACTCACAGGAAATGTTGAGCGAGTGTGTGAACCATAATTATTTGCTCAGGTTAATATGCCTTCATGCATTAGTCTCACTCCGTTAAGCTTGATGGTGCATAAATGACTCCACACACGCAGACGTGCATTTACACAGTCAGGCTGTGATGAGAAGATGAGAAATCTGCAGAATCTCTGCTTTGAATCGGGCTGGAAGATGTTTCTGGAAAAACTAACATCAGTTTTTGAACTAACACTCTGAATAATCGGGGGGGTTTCACTTCATATTCTGGAGTAACATCCGTTTCAAAACGATCAAAAGGGAAATTTTATGATGCTTCTTCTTCTTAGGAACAGAAAACATGAACATCATCTCCATGCACATGAGAGGTCAGAGCGTCCTGATGTCAGCTGTGGGGAAAATATCAGCTCTGAATCAAAAATAAAAAAAAAACACGTTCTGACATATTTTTATCCATCTGTGAAGAGACAGCTGGTGGAGAAGATTTAAAGCTCTGATTTCTGTCCCAGTAACACGAAGTAAACAACATTCAGATGACAAAACCCCGAGTCTACGCAAGTGCCAACAGGTAAAACCAAGCAAACATCAGATCAGATCCAGGACCAGAGCAGCAGGACTCAGGAGACAGGTCCAAACCAGAACCCAAAATGAATGAAACTACCGGATTAATCAACTTTATAATTACACCGTATGATTGAACAACAAACAACTATATACAAAACACACACATTAACAACAACCATACAGTTAGGTAATACCTTTACAATTAGACAAGTGTACAGTAAGACACCATGTACAGATAAACAACCAACAACCGTACAATTGAACAACAACAACAATGTTGGCAACAACCAGACAATTAAATCAGGGGTTCTCAAACTTTTTGGGTTCAGGGACCCCCTCACCACCTTCATATTTATTAAATATGTTTCTTAACATAAATACTTAAGATTTGTTCTTTAATCGTGTTAATACATGAGCATGCATCAGGAGCGTTAATACAATTTTTATACTTTTAAATGGGGTATTTTTCATTCAAGACACACTAAATTAACACTTTTTAATTTCAAATTTCAAAAATTACAGTTTTGATCAAATTAACAGCATTAAAAAAAAACCACTTTAAAATTTTACCTATTCACATAATGAACATAAATGTATCGCCACTTCATATTATTACAGAAAACTCTTTAAATAAAACTGAACAGAATCAAAATAGCAGTGGTCAGACCAAGTAACGGGGATTAATGTGTAAACTGAACGATGCTGGAAACGCAAATAGCGGGTGAGCCGGGGAGAGTAGGGGGGAGGTGCAGGGGTCTTCGGGGTCCTCCCTCAGAAAATTTTGACAAAAGTACATGTGATTTCCTGCATTTCGGTGTATTTGAACGGGTTGTTAAACCCGTAAACATCTATGTGCTTGAAAAAGAAAACTTTTTTTTTTTGCGGACCCTCAAGCACCGGCTCACGAGCCCCCGGGGGCCCACGGACCCCAGTTTGGGAACCACTGACTTAAACAATCGTAAAGTTAAAAAAAACCTGCTGTTCAATTGAAAAACTACGACAAAGTATTAGAGCCACGCTAAGAAAAAATTATTACGTAAAGAAAAACAATTGCATTACGAGAAAAAGGTCATGAAATTACGAGAATAAAGTCATAATATTATCAGAATAAAGTCGAACTGTTATGAGAATAAATTTGCAACATTACCAGAATAAAGTCGGAATATTATCAGAACTCCGACAAAAAGAAGCAGTCTCACAACTGGGTTAAAATGATGAATGTTGACGTCGGCAGTACAATAGCAGGAGGTCCAACGCACTGTGGCATATGGATTCTTATGATAAACTCAAGTTGTATGGCATTGCAATTAATGGCTGCACTGACGGATTTAGTTGTGATGTAATGTGTATGGAGGCATATTTCACAAACAGTGACGCAAAAGTGATTGCGGACTACTTCATAAACACAGTGACTCACATTGGAGGCTGTCCACAGCAGGTGCGAGACGACCCAGGAACGTATTATGAGTTTATTCTCATAATATTACAACATTATTGTTATATATTATGACTTATTGTCATACAACTTTATTCTCATAACCCTATGACTTTATTCTCAATACTACAACTTTATTAGCATAACCCTATGACTTTATTCTCATACTACTACAACTTTATTCTCATAACCCTATGACTTTATTCTCATAATACTACAACTTTATTCTCATAACCCTATGACTTTATTCCCATAATACTACAACTTTATTCTCATAACCCTATGACTTTATTCTCATAATTTTATGACTTTTTCTTGTAATAATTTTTTTTCTTAACGTGGCCCTAATACTCCGTTGTAGAAAACCATTATATGCTGGATAAAAGAAGCAAAATGCTAGCTGTTAGATATTAAAAGCAAAATGCTAGCTAGAAACGGAAAGTAATAAAGGATGGCTAATATTAGCCAAAGACTAGCAAAAAAATAATAAATAGCAGCTAAAAGCCAAAAGTAGCAAAATTGTAGCTAAAAATTTAAATTGGCATAACCATAGCTAGAATTGACAAAATTGAAGGTAAACGTTTTAAATAAAAAACAATAGCTAAAAGCTAAAATCAGTAAAACAGCTGTAAGGACTAAATGTAGCCAATGATTTATTAAAAGCTACAATTAGCAACAAAAAGCTAAAAATAGCAGAATGACAGCTAAATGCTGAAAGTAGCATTAGAAGACAAAAATAGAGCCAGTAGCTGAAGAGAACTCTTTCAAAGCGAACAATGTAAATAAATAAATAAATAAAGCTCGAAAGAGATATTGATGAAATTTAGTAGAAAATATTTATAAATAAAATCAAATAGCTAAAAAAAAAAAGTTATAGCTCCCATATTTTGAATGAGCTGAATGTTTTAATGTGTGAAATACTAAAATGGCACAATGTTTGTAGACGTAGTTGGATTGTAAAACTGAAAAACAATAGTGCTGACGGCATGAACTACATTTAATCAGATGATGAAACTTTCAATCTGTTTAGGAAGTGGATTAGTTTGAAATATCGAGACCTGTTTTTTCAGCAAAACAAATGATCCAGTTCAAATCCAAACCAGAACATCTGGATCAGAGCATGAGGTCTAAAACTTCTTGTCCTGATCAGATTTATTGATCACTGCCTGTGTTTAATCTTTGGTTCGTTTCTGATGAGTTCTTCATCGTGTTGGTGTCAGAGCTGCAGCCTCCTCCTTCTCATTCCTCAGGGTCCAGATAAATACCGACCCAGGTTCAAACTTCATGTTTAGTCCTGAATTATGTTATAGTTTATATAGTTATAGCTTGAAGTGACAGCAGAACTGTCAAACACTCACCCAGAAGACGAAGGAGTAAAACAGCAGCAGCGTCTTCAGACAGAAGATCACCGGTTTGGTTTCCATCCTCCTGGGAGCCATCATCCATCTGATTCAAACTGGGCTCCTTTCTTCTCTTCCTGTGTCTTTGTACCAGCTGAGGAAAATTTCTAAAAGTTAAAACTGCGCCCTCTGCTGGTCACTTATCGAACTGCACGAACCTCAACAACAACAACAACAAAAGTAATTTTTAATAGTTTTATTACCAGTAAAGTTAAATTTTAATGTCATTCACCCACTTCAGAGAGATTATTTTATTAAAAAATATATATATATTTATAAAAGCTGCAAAGAAAATGTATGAAATGGTTCAATTTTAGCTCCAATTTGCACTTATTCATGCTCTGCTGCTAAAACATGAGTGAAACGTATTTGCTAAATGTTCTGATGTCAGCACGTAAAGTATAGTAAGCCTGTCCACTTCCTCAGACTGACTCTGGATCTGTTTAAATTAAAGCATTTGAAATACCCAAACATGTGAGAATATTTGGAGTAACTGTGGTCAGTGTCGTGTTGGGGGGACGGGCAGGGTGTCACCTCCGTGTAAATTGTGTGGTCAGAGTGTGAGGTATGATGGTCACATGTTGGTGCTCCTGATGTCTACTGACAAACTTTTGCTTTAGATCTTTTTGGAGTTTCAGAAAACAAACGTTAAAATAAATTTAATCGGATAAAAATGTGCAACACACACACACACACACACACACACACACACACACACACACATATATAGATACACAACCCTAATTCTGAAAGCACTGCATGGACTGTAAATTAAAACAGAATACAATAATCTGCAAATCTCATAAACCAGTGATTTATGGAACATAGGAAACGGTAAATGAAGAAGTTTTTTGGATGAAAGACAAAATGTTTCTACAATTTTTTTTTTGTTTGTTTGTTTTTGGAACCCGTCAAGAGCTGATACTGATCTTAAATAAGGGCATACTTAAGAATTAAAAAAAAAAAAAAAAAAAATCTGACTACTTTTTTAAATAAACGGTAAAGCTAAGAAAATAAACTTTTTTTTAAAAGAAAAATGCGTAAATTGGAATTTTACTGCAGTAACACATCCGTAAAAAGTTGTGCCTGTGAATTTTACAGATGTTAAGTTCAACTTTATAAAATTTGGTGTAGCAGGAGTTTAGTCATCCCCAACACACATACATGTGTATGTATGTACATATGTGTGTATGTATATTATATATATATATATATATATATGTGTATATATATATA